TTACATTTGGTATCAGAGCCGGGACCCGGGCCGGTGTGCCAGCGAGGGCGCTGGACTCCCTTGAGGGGGGTGGATTGTGAAGTCCCACATCGGTTAGGAAGGAGAACGAAGCATGCCATATATATGGGTGTGGATACCTTCCTTGTGTGGACGCGTTTTGGGGTGGCATGCGTGTCATTGCCAGATCCACTTTAAAAATGGGCCACCCACCATTGATGCATGCCTCACAGGCATGAGGGGGTGTATTGGGAAAAATCCAAGTCCCGCCAATCCTAGATCATTAAAAAGGGCCACCCACCATTTATCCACGTACCAAGCTCAATAGTGCTGGACGTGAGGGGGTGTATTGGGAAAAACTCAAGTCCCACATCTACTAGAGATTAGGCAATTGAATAGTATATAAGTGGAAAGCAACCCTCATCTTACAAGCCGGTTTTGTAGGGTTGAGTTAGGCTTAATCCACTATTCTAACAAAGCGGACAATATCCACATGCGGGTTGCTGGGCTGTTACATTAGTCATAATTTAAAATTAAATAGATGACATAACACTTAATATTTAATAATATTAAAGTTAAATTTCACTTTTAATTCTCATTTGAGTAAAATAAAATTATCATTTTTATATTATAAAAGTGATAAAACAAAATGAAAATAGGATAAAAATAACAATTGAAATAGAAATTTAGATTAATGTTAGGTCATAACGAATATTACAATTTTAATAATTATAAGATGAACATGTAGCAATGAGAGATCAAAATTGTGGAATTGAAAATTCGGGACCAAAATTGTGAATTTAATATTATTGGGGGATGAAAAGTACAATTTAGCCTATTAAATAATAGTTATCAGCCCATATACTTAATGTCAAGTCATATTTAATTTTACAATTTTAGTAGTTGATGAATGAACATTTACTCTTGGACCAAATTATGGATTTCAATAAATTGGAATACTAAAATGACAAAACTAAAAACAGGGGACCAAAATAAAAAAAAGGGGTATTATAGAATATAGAGGGATCAAAAGAGTAATTTAGAGATGTAAAAAAAGAGTAATTTAGAAAAAACTAAAATTAGGAAAAAAAAACTATTAGGAGTAATTTAAAGAGTTTAATTTCTATCTATTACGAGATTTATGCGATTAGAAATCACAACTTATGATATACACTCATTTATTTTTTTAAAAGAGTATGTTAATAAGTTATACTTGAGTGTATTTTAAAAATTATTGTAACACACATGTTAAAAAAATGAAAACTATTTAATACTCAATTTTATTAATTTAAACTAACTTATTCTTGGAGTAAACATATTATATATATATATATATATATATAACTTTTAAGAAAATTAATGTAAAAATTATGTTTAGATTATCATAGTGCATAAGTTATTTTATCTTTTAAAAAATTTAAAATTCAAAACTAAAAAAAAACTCTTTGGAATCTTACAACTTATTTTCATGTTTTATTAAATTTGAGTTAAATTGTATTTTAGGCTTTCTTATATTATCTAATATGTGATTTTAGTTTCTTAAATTTAAATTCACAATTTTAATATACGAATTTTATCAAATTTGTAATTTTAGTCCAATCACTAATAATCATTCATTAATTATTAAAATTTTAACGTTGATCATGATTTTATATTAAGTAGATGATATCACACTTGATGTATAATATAATATTTGGACTAAATTATACTCTTTCTTCTCATTTTCTATTTTATCAAATGATAAGTGTGATAAAAAAAAAAAACACTAACTTTAAAAGCTTTCAATAAGAATTAGTTAATAAAATTGAGAGACTTTGTGTCTCTATATTTTATTAAATAAATATTTAAAAATTATTAATATTTATTAGGTCAACTACTATTACACTTGGTCTTCAGCTATTATTAAATAAAATAATTTTTCACATTATTTTTATTATTTAAAACTTTAATAATAAAATCATCTAAAAAAAAATATGAATGTTGTATCTCAAAGTTATAAATATGTTATAAATGACTTAAAATTGTAAAAGCTATAAAAAAAACTATCGATCATACATAATAATTTTTTTCAGCTCTTACATAATATCTAAAAATTGATAATTAAAAATTAATATATTTTCATAGAACATAAATTTTACTAATTAAATATTATTTTAACGCAAGTAATCGAATAAATATTAGAGAAATTATATGGTACCCATCTTATTTGAGAGGGTACTGGTACAGTTTTTTATATTTTATATTTTTAATAATTTATTTAAATAATATTTATGATATTTTTTATTCTTTCAATTTTTAAATTATTTAGTCATTTTAATTTTATTTTATATATTCTAATTTATTTGTAATAATATTATTATATGTTTAAATAGTTTAATTT